GCCACCCAAGTGCCCCGACCTATTTGTATTTTAAATGGTGGGATATTTTAAGAACCCAAGAAAGCCAGTGAGAGCTATTTTAGGTAGAAACAGGCTTAGCGTCCCCTGCATCAAACCATGTTGCCTGCCAACAGGACTGCCCTCAGATACACATTTTATCTAGTATCATGTATTTTGCATTTCATCACTGAAAATGATAAAAAGCTGTACCCAGTAGGGAGAGAATATATAAACACTGAAATTCCCAAGCCAGTTGACCATGGGAATTTTGACAATGGTGATTTATCAGACAGTGACTTTGGGAGGTGACAGGATGCAGCAGGAACAAACAGGTGGTTTTGGCATCAAACCCGGCAAACATCTTTCCCCACGTGGGTTTTAAACACCTTCCTGACCTGAGTTTCAGGGTTCTTATTGATTCCCATTTACCCCTGAGCTCTCCTGTGTCTTCAACTCTTAGTTACTCCCCATTCAGCACTGCAACATGCTCAAACCTTTAACAAAACAAAACGGCAAGATAAAAGCACAACCACTCCTTTGAGCCCTGTCTCCCTTTGCCTCCCAGCCTCTCTCTCTCTTCCCCCTGGAAGCCTGTCTTCCCCCATCTACTTTCACATCCCACTCCAATTCACTCCTAAACCCATTGTGCTCTGGCTTCTGCCCCAAGCTCTTCTTCCGAGTTTTATTTATTTATTTATTTATTTATTTATTTATTTATTTATTTATTTATATAATTAAAATTTTTTTTATTTATTCATGAGCGATACACAGAGAGAGAGTCAGAGACACAGGCAGAGGGAGAAGCAGGCTCCATGCAGGGAGCCCGATACGAGACTCGATCCTGGGACCCCAGGATCACGTCCTGAGATGCAGGCCGGTGCTCACCCACTGAGCCACCTAGGATTCCCCTTCTTCTAGGTTCTAATGTGACCTTGCTGGGCCTCCTGGTCTGAGCTCGTGATAGGTCTGAGTCTCATCTCCAATTTAAGGCAGCAAGAGCACTGCACCCTGAGAAGTCCTGGCATGCAGCTTCAGAGGCAATCCCTAGAACACCAAGAATATATATATAGTGACTGCCTGATTTCACTTAGCACAGTGTCCTCAACTTTCATCCATGTTGTGACATATGTCAACATTTCCTTCCTCTTTAAGGCTGAATACTATTCCATTGTATGTATAAACCATATTGCGTTTCTCCATTGGGCCATTGATGGACATTTGGGTTGCTTCTACCGTCTGGCTGTTGTGAATAATGCTATGATGAACATTGGGGTATAAATATGACCATATGTGTGTGTGTGTGTGTGTGTATTTTCCCCATTAAGGTATATGGTAACCCAGGTAAGGTGTATGATCTATGGAACTGCATCCTTACTAATGCAGAAACAAGAACAACATTTGCAAAACATCTTCCAGACAGTGGAGCCTCAAGGTCAGGGGATCAACTCTATCATCCAACACACCTGGAGTGACCCTCCCAGCTCTGCCATTTGCTATCTGGGAGACCTTGGGCAAGTTCCTTCAATTCTCTCTGCCTCCTCACCTCGCCTCAAAAATGGCCATGGCAATAGCAGGCACCACAAGGAACTATTAGAAGAAGTGAGCAAGACCATGTGTGTCAGGTGCTAAGTGCAGTTCATGGCCCATAGGAAGCATTTCATAAGGAATAGCTCTCATGACTACTTTTTATCTAAGCCCATCTCAATTTTCACACCCCTAAGATGGGAATGAACAAATGTGGTAAGACTAAGGGTTTGTTACAAAATTCTCTAGAGAGTCATTGGTTTCCTGAGTGATCAGAAACATTTCAGGGGCACCTGTGTGGCTCAGTCGGTTGAGCATCCGACTCTTGATCTCCCCTCAGGTCCTGATCTTGGGGTTGTGAGTTCAGGCCCTCTGCATTGGGTTCCATGCTGGGTGTGGAGCCTGCTTAAGAGGGAGAGAGAGAGAGAAGAAAGAAAGAAAACAAAGAAAGAAACAAAGAAAGAATAGAGGCCTTTAAAAAGGACAGTGTGAGAAACTACAGGGAGAAACATTGCAGAGGGGCCAGAGAGAGAAGCAGAATCCTCAAATGAGAATGAACATTTCCTAGATGTTGGGAGATAAACCAGCAGGCACAAGAGTAGGACGAAAATCTGCCTCTGTGGTTGGCATCGGAGAAGATGAATGATCTCTGTTGTACAAGTACAAACACAGACTAGATGGGGAAACAGCCACTGGAAAAGCCATCAGAACTAAAACTAGATAGTAGGCAATGGCCACCAGAGGAGGCATCTACTGTGATCAATTAAAACTGGAGACCTCATTTTAAAGTAAGTAGAGATGTTCCAAGAACAGATGTTGCAGAGTACATGAATCCAGGTATGTGAGTCTAACAAAATGGCTGAAGTGCAGGCAGAAATGGGAGGACATTGACGTAAAATTGGCACATGTTGGTCCACCAAGAAAGGCCAAGGACAGCTGAGCAAAGAGTCTGGGCCTGTGCTGTCCGAAGGGGCAGCAATAGCCTCGGCGGCTCCAGCACTTGAAATGTAGCTGGTAGAAATTGAGAAATGTGTTAAGTGTAAATACACACAGATTTCAAAGACTAAGTACCCAAAAAAGAAAGAACATAAAATATATTAACAATTTTTAAAATATTGATCACACATTGAAACGGTAACAGCTCAGATGCTGAGTTAAGCAAAATAGACTAAAATTAATTTTACTGTGTTTCATTTTCTTTTTAAATGTGGCTTCTAGGGATGCCTTGGTGGCTTAGTTGGTTAAGTGTCTGCCTTCAGCTCAGGTCATGATCCTGGGGTCCTGGGATTGAGCTGTGCATCAGGCTTCCTGCTCCGCAGGGAGCCTCCTTCTCCCTTTCTCCCTGCTTATGCTTGCTCTCTCTCTCAAATAAATAAAATCTTGAATTACATAAAAAATATATGCGGCTTCTATAAAATGTAAAATCACACACATTCTTGTGAGTGGTATTCAACATATGGAAGCTATGGGTTTTTTTTTAACTTAAATTCAATTAGCCCACATACGGGACATCATTAGTTTCAGATGTAGAGTTCAGTAATTCATCAGTTGCAGGTAACACCCAGTGCTTGTAAGATATGTATTTTTGTTGTTGTATAATTCCAAAGACCTGGGAGTTTACTCTATGTCAGTATCATTATGTATTTAAGGCAATATTGAAGATGCCTTCACAGCCCACCAAATGGGAGAGGAAAATCTGCCCACCTTTTAGAGCAGCCATTCTCAACTGGGGCAGTTTTGCCTCCCGGGGCCATCTGGAGACACGTTTGTGCATCAAAACCTGATAGTGAAAGGGAATATAAGGGAAGGGAGAAGAAATGTGTGGGAAATGTCAGAAAGGGAGACAGAACATAAAGACTCCTAACTCTGGGAAAGGAACTAGGGGTGGTGGAAGAGGAGGAGGGCGGGGGGTGGGGGTGAATGGGTGACGAGCACTGAGGGGGGCACTTGACGGGATGAGCACTGGGTGTTATTCTGTATGTTGGTAAATTGAACACCAATAAAAAATAAATTTATTATTAAAAAAAAAAACCTGGAGAGATAAAGCGGCTACTGGTATCTAGAAGATAGAGGCCAAGGAGAACGCTAGACATCCTACAGCCGGCAGCATCCCCACCCCCATGACAAGGATCGGGCCCAAATAGCAATAGTGCCCTCAGGTGAGTAGCCCTGAGTTAGAGGTTCTTGGTTATCTACAGACTTTGATTAATCATCAAGCCTCAGAAATGTGTGGGACAAAGAGAACGGCAGATGTCCTCCAGGTGCTGTGGGTGGCCGGCCCTCCAACCCCACGCCCAGCAGCAGCACCACCCAGGAAGTTATTAGAAACACACAATCTGAGGCCCCACCCCACTCCCCACTGAATCAGAATCTCAAAGTGGAGCCCCCAGATCTGTGGCTTAACAAGTAGGCCCTCCGGGTGGTCGTAATACACTCTCAGGTCTGAAAAGCCTGCTTGGCTGACCGCGTCCCCCGGTGACCTCCTCCTGCACGTTCCAGGCCTGAGCGGCAGGTGGCAGCAGACCTGACAACGGTATCGCAAGGCCTGCGAAGAGCCGAGCCGGGGCTCGCTTGCGGCAGGTCAGCAGGTGACAGCTGGCGCCCGTGCGCCGCCTCACACTCAGGAGTGCCAGCTTTCTAATTTCGGGAAAGTCGGAGAGAAAAGCGTGGTTTGAACGCATTCAGAGTCCCTTCTTAGTCCCATGGTGCTTCCAGGGCTCTGAAATTGTTCAGTTCTAACTTGCGTTACTAAAGCATATTCTCCGACAGAGAATTCGGTGAGCAATCTGGTTCGGACTATTTTTTAAAAACACCTCGCACCCTACAAAATCCCAAATTGGTGACAATACGTCATTTCTGCTATCCCCGGGGGCTTCTCGGGCCAGGCACTTGACACCGCACACCTGAGTGACTCCCCCATCTACACGTGCACCCCAGTGCACCCCAGTGCACCCCACCTGGTGAATGACCAGCCTCGCAGGCTTTCCTGGGTCTTTTGTGAGGCAGATTAAATTAGTTCGGCAAACCTCGTTCAGAAGGGCGAGCCCGCGACCGGCAGATAATTTCCCATCCGAGCCACAAGGGGGCACCCTCCGCCCTGCCATGGGCGTGCGTCCGAGCCCAAAGATGACCCTGAAGGGGAAGGTCGCTCGAGGGCAGATCCTGAAGGAATGGGGAGGGAGCTGTTACTGTTTTGGTAAAGTGGCTCAGTGGTGTGACTTTTGAGTGGGACCTCCGCCCTGGACTCTAAAGCCGGGTTCTTCAAGGTGTGGCCCCCCGTCTGGCAGCCAGAGCATCACCTGGGAGCTGTTAGGAAAGCAAGTTATTGGGCTCCTTCCCAGGCCTGCTGAGTCAGAAGCTGGGGCGGGGGTGGGGGTGGGGGGGGGGCACCCACCGGACCCACCGATGATTTCTGCTTTAACGTGCATTTTCTCTTTTATCCGCCCCCCCCCCCCCCAGGTGACTGCGATGCTGGCTCAAGCTTGAGAACCACTGCCTCCGTGGAGCATCTTCCTGGGCACCCTGAGCACCGGCTGGGATGCAGACCCACGTTGCTATCTGATCTCATCAGGCTTCTGCCAAGAGGCTAAATGTAAGAGCCTGCATTCCTAACGCCTGACATGTCCTTCGGGTCACTTACCCGAGAACACCCGAGGACACTGAGGTCAGTCTTTCTGTGGGAATGTGTCAGTCAGTCCCTGGGCGATACAGAGGAGGGCCAAGTGCCAGCCCTCAGGAGCTTCCAATCACGAGTAGACGGCGGGATTGCCACAGAGATCCAAAGACCAAGGAGGCTCCAACTGGGGTGCCTCTGGCTCCACGTGGAAGCAGAATGGAAGCACACACATTAGGACACCACCCCCCACCGCCATCCTGCCTTGCTTTTCTATTCTCTCACGCCCAGATGCTCCCCCTCCTCTTTTCCTCCCTGCTCACCACCTGCCCTGGGTTTGCTCTAGTTTTTCTCTTTCATGGCCCCTAATCTTCTACATCGTTTGTCCTATTTCCCTCCACCTCATTCTGGTTTTGTTTTAGGTCACAGAAGTCCCAGGGATAGATTCAGCAAGGACAGAGCCCCCAGAAGGCAGAGGAAAGGATAGAACAGAGTGGACGTGGACAGACGTCGGTTCAGGATGAAGCCTGAGAACACCCGAGCGCACCTGACCATCCTGGCCCCTGCCCTGTGCTGTGCAGGCCCGGGGACACGCTGCGCTGGGGGCCGCAGAGTGTGGCAGAGGCTCTCGGGGGCAATTGGACGTGAGCTAAGCCTTGGAAGGTGAGGGGGCTCCGGGTGAGCAGAGGGGGAGGAGGGGCCCTGCCGGCCACAGCAGGAAGGAGCTGGAGTGTGAGGGGGCATGGTAGCCTGTGGGGGATGGAGGATATGATGCAGAGTCGTGGGAAGTGAGGCTGGATGGGTCCCCAGATGGAGGAGGTGACAGATAAAGTTGGAGCCAGTTCCTGAGCAGAGGAGAAGTGTGCGTAAGAAGGAATTATATTGGTACTAAGAAGGCATCATGTCCTGCGGGAGTCACGATGAAAATGCCTGTAGTGTGAAGCAAGTTAGGGATGAAGCAGGAGGGCCAGGAGGGGCTGTGGGGAGCTAAAGCACCTGCCCATTCTAGAGTGGGGAATTACCGGGGACAGGCGTCACAACTCTGGACTTCTTTCTCATGAGAGACACACAGAGAGAGGCAGAGAGAGAGAAGCAGGCTCCATGCAAGGAGCCCAACTCGGGACTCGATCCAGGGTCTCCAGGATCATGCCCCGGGCTGAAGGCAACACTAAACTGCTGAGCCACCCGGGCTGCCTGAGACTTGATTTTTTTTTTAATTGAGGTATCATTGACACAGTTACATTAGTTTCAGGTGTACAACATGGTGATTCGAGGAGTCTGTACACGGTGCTGTGCTCCCCATGAGCGTAGCTCCCATCTGTCACCTTACAGTGCTATTACCACCCCACTGACTGTATTCCCTGTGTTGTGCCTTTCATCCCCATGGCCTATTTATTCTATAACGGGAAGCCTGTACCTTCTCCTCCCCATCACCCGTTTTGCTCACCACTCCCAGCCTCTTAACCTCTGGCAACCATCAGTTTGTTTTCTGTATTCTGGGTCTATTTCTGCTTCTTTTCATTGTTGTTCATCAGTTTTGTTTGGTAGATCCCACAGAAACATAAAATCATGTGGTATTCATCTGTATCTGACTTATTTCACTTAGCATTAACTTCTCTAGCTCTATATTGTTGCAAATGGCAAGATCTTGTTCTTTTTTATGGCTGAGTAATATTCCAGTGTCTATACATATCACATATTCTTTATTCATTGCATCCATTGATGAACACTGGGGTTGCTAACATAGCTTGACTATTGCTGTAGTAAAAAAGGGTGCATATATGTTTTCAGATTAACATTTTAATTTTCCTTGGGTGAATACCCAGTAGTGGAATTACTGGGTAGTATAGTATTTGATATTTTGATATTATTTTCCACGGTGGCTGCACCAATTTACATTACCACCAAGAGTGCACAGGGTTCATTTTTCTCCACATTCTCACCAACATATACCTCTTATTTTTTTCAGTATTAGCCATTCTGGCTGGTAAGAGGTGATAATTCATTGTGGCTTTGATTGGCATTTTTCTTTTTTTTTCTTTTTTTTTAAATTTATTTATGATAATCACAGAGAGAGAGAGAGAGAGAGAGAGGCAGAGACACAGGCAGAGGGAGAAGCAGGCTCCATGCACCGGGAGCCCGACGTGGGATTCAATCCCGGGTCTCCAGGATCGCGCCCTGGGCCAAAGGCAGGCGCTAAACTGCTGCACCACCCAGGGATCGTGATTGGCATTTTTCTGATGATGAGAGATGTTGAGCACTTTTTCAGGCACCTATTGGACATCTGGATGTCTTCTTGGCAAAATTTTTATTTATGTTCTCTGCCCATTTTTAATCAGATTATTTCTTCATTTTAAAATATGATAGCTGGGATCCCTGGGTGGCACAGCGGTTTAGCACCTGCCTTTGGCCCGGGGCGCGACTATCATTAATAAATAAAAAAATTTAAAAAAAAATAAAATATGATAGCTAATTAAAATTTTTAAAATCTGGGCCTTTGGTCAAGTTGGATTTGGATTTTTAAAAATTTTTAACTTGGGATCCCTGGGTGGCGCAGCGGTTTGGCGCCTGCCTTTGGCCCAGGGCGCGATCCTGGAGACCTGGGATCGAATCCCACGTCGGGCTCCCGGTGCATGGAGCCTGCTTCTCCCTCTGCCTGTGTCTCTGCCTCTCTCTCTCTCACTGTGTGCCTATCATAAATAAATAAATAAATAAATAAATAAATAAATAAATAAATAAATAAATAAATAAAATTTTAACTTAAAGGTTTTAATCCTTTTTTAAAACAAGTTTTTATTTACTTATGTAATCTCTATACCCAATATGGGGATCAAACTCACAACCCCCAGATTAAGGGTTGCACACTCTTCCAACTGAGCCAGCCAGGCACCCCTCTGACCTGTATTTTTTTTTAATCTGGCATAGGGATTTGTACCATACTTTCAAAATACTACAGCTATTTTATCTTCTTAGTTTCCTTCCTCTTTTCTCTTAAAGCTACTTATTATGAACAACAACAAAATAAGTATAACATTCACTGAACATCAACAGTGTACTTTAAAATTCTTCACTTAAATTACCCCATTTGATCCTCACACAGCCCTCCCTGTAAGATTAGCTACTCCTATTTTACAGATGAGAGAAGTAAGGCTCTAAGAGGTAAAATAGCTTGCCCCAGATTACACAGTAAGTAGAGAAGCTGGATGCCAGCCCAGGTGGTCAGATTCTGACTCATGCCTTTAGCTTGTGTGTAATATCCTTTCCTGTATAGTTTCTCGCTTCCAAGCATAAGTGATATTCATGAGGTTGTGTTTACCTTCTCGCACTAAAATATCAGTGTGCTTTTTCCTTGCCCATGCCTTGGGTGTGGAATATGTCTGTTCTGGTTGGTTTCACAAATATTTACTGAGTGCTTATGATGAGCCATGCAGTGGGCTGGGCACCAGTCATCCACCTTCATGAAACCATTTTATTTAATTTAGTTATTTTTGAAATTTTACTTAGTTTTTAAGTAAACTCTACCTCCAATGTAGGGCTCGGATTCACGACCCACCCCGAGATCTAGAGTCGTGTGCTCTACTAACTGAGCCAGCCAGGCGCCCCCATGAAACTGTTTTAATAGGAAATGCTGACAGAAGCACAAAATCTCAGTGTAATATGGGATGTCATGTTGAAATAAAGGCATCTCCAGGATGTGGTGAGATCACACTCTGGACTCCTGCATGTGGGGGAAGGCATACATCAGGGATGACTTCCTGTGAGAAAGACCATGGGGGTTGAGTGTCAAAGAACTCTGAGGCACAGCAGGGTTCAAGAGGCAGGCATTGGAAGAGCCAGAGGGTGTAGGGAAGATCAGGAGAGTTGTGACCAGGCATCAGGAGGAGTTGGGGACCTTTGGGTTAGTGCTACCTGAGAGGGCTGATGGAAAGGCCAGTGCCAGAGGAGGCTGAGGGGCAGACCCCACAGAAAGAATAAAGACTGATTTGTAAGTGAACGGATGAGATGAATCAACTGAAAGGCTGGAAGAGGGCATCATGTGAGTTCACCCTGGCACATGGAAGGACTGGCCACCTCTTCCTGGTGTGGTACCACAACCAGGTTGCTTAGTCTCTGTGATCCTTAGTTTCCTTGTATAAAGTGAAGTCTGTGACTCACACAGTTTGGCAAGTATTGCATGAGATGCCATGCCAGGACTAGGCCAGCGCCTGGCCAGTGCAATCACTAAGACCATATGAGTTATTATCACTGGAGGCACTTGGGAAATGTTTGTTGAATGAATGAATGAATGAATGAGAGCAATGGTTTAAGCTGCCCCAGTGATAGCAACAGGAGTTGGGAGATGAGTGCAGGAGCTTCAGCTTGAGACTGGCCCATGATTCTACTTGTCTTTTGAGGACCGGAGAATAAGGGCTACATTCATTTGAGACCTATACAGATGTCAGCTCTATCATAAAGTCCAAATGAAGCTATCTAGTCCCCCTGAGCAGCAGCCTGCCTCCACACGCAAACCTGACCACAGAGCCTTCAGTTGAATCAGCTGTAATTTGGTGCTGAGGCTGCTGATTTTTTTCCCCCAGAGGCGTTGTCTGCACTCAGGTGAATCTAACATTCCTGCAGGTTTCGTCACTCCATCCAGGTGCTCACAGCCCTGCCAACTGAACGCTCTCTCCTGAGCAGCTGCAGCAGTCTGGCACCTGGCGCCCATCTGGTGGAAATAAGCATCCGCTTGGGAGGCATGACAGCCTTGTTGGCTCCCGCATGATTGATGGCCACGGCTGCTGCCCCTGTGTCCCTCGCTTCCAAATAACACAGAGGGGGACAGTTTCCCAGCCAGTTGGGTAGCTCCAGGTGGCCACGTTCACCTTGGGGATTCCCAGGAAGAGAGAGGAAAACCCGTAAAATGATGACAATCAGGCATTCCGTATCTATAGTCATTTTTGCTTCAGAATCTCGATGGCTGGAGCACATGGGAGCTTTTCTCCAGGGATTCTGTGCTGGTAGCTGTGTGCCTTGATTTTTCAGGTGGTGATGAGGGCACTGGGAGGAAGGGACCTGAAAAGTGGAAGCCTGGCTTACTTTTTCTGAATGAAATAATTTCTGTGACCATGGGTCCCCAACTTACCTGTGTGCCAGACTCCTCAATGGGGTGGGAGACACACAGGGCTGCAAGTTCTGGAAGGGTAGGTGTGTGACCAGACCCAGACACCTGTATCTTTATTCAGGTCCTTAGGACTTTTCACAATGTGGTCTGCAGATCACCTGAATCCAATCACCTATTTCAAAATGCAGGTTCTTGGGTACCTGGTTGACACAGTCAGTTAAGCATCCAACTCTTGGTTTTGGCTCAGGTCATGATCTCAGGGTCATGAGGTTGAGCCCCACCACCAGCTGTGTGCTCAACAGGGATTCTGCTTAAGATTCTTTTCCTCTGCTCCCCCCTACTCACATGTGCTCTCTCTAAAATAAATCTTTAAAATATAAAATACAAATGCAGGTTCCTTGGGCTCACCCCAAGACTCATAAAATAGACAGCTCTGGATATTGAATCCATAAGGGGTTTTGTTTGTTTGTTCTAAGATTTTATTATTAGAGTGAGCACGAGATGAGGAGGGGCAGAGGCAGAGGGAGAGGGAGAAGCAGGAGCAGGCTCCCCACTGAGCAGG